TATAACTTAATTAACTAAATGATTATCTTTTTTATTAAGTTAAGGTAAAAAGGCAAAAAATTGCTCGAAATCAATGAAGTGACTGTCTCATCAAAAAAATTTTATTGGGATATATGAAAAACTTATTAATCTTCCTGAATCGCAGCACTTAATTAAATTTAAAAGTGCCACTTTTACGAGTTCTCAAATTTGCTCTCTTATGGTCTCAACGATGAGATAAAACAGAAAAGAAAATACCATCACTAGCAAACTGTTTATCTTAAAAAAGTAAATGAGAAATATCTGTTTAGCTTTTTATGAAATATACTTTGAGAAAATTTAAAACAAAAATTCAAAGAAAAAAAATTTAGATAGATATAAAATCTGGTGATAATTTGATAAATTTTTCTATGCTTGTTCAAACTATCAACAGTCAGAAGTATTTGGTAAACTAAGTTTACAGTTTACCATAAACAGTTTGCTAAAAATATCTTTTTTTTATGTTTTTTGTTTCTCAGATGTGTGTATTTGTATAAATAACCTTTCCACCAAATTTCACTTACTTCAGAAGATTCCAAACTGTTGCGGAACTATATGCTTTTGGAAACTTCAGAAAATGCATAGTAGTTTTTGGTGTTTTTTGAAATTTCAGTTTTTTATAACGTTATAAAAGTGGTGAAAAACCGCTATTTAAAAAAAAATTAGAAAAGTCATTAGATTATTAACTTTTTTTTTTTCAGAAGCATTAATTAGAAGATGTTCTCTTCACTAAGTACGCAAAATATCTAAATGAAACAACAATGGTTGGCTGCAAAAAGACGACCAAAATCTCAGCCTTTTTAGCTCTCACTTTTTTTGTTTTCCAAAGTTTCTTATTGTTTTTTGATACGTCAACCTACGGTTATTGGTTGTCAAGGTCTAAGAGGTCTTAATAACTCGACCGTTTGACTGCAACTTCAGCAATTTATAGACTGTCTGATACCTGTTTCAGAATACATTTCTGGAGCCACACTAAGAGATTTATTTAATTTTCTTTTTATCGTTAATTGATAATATAATTTAATGACTGCAAGAAAATGCCACTTTCTAGAGCCAGAACACGAATTTGAACTGTACTGTAGAAAGAGTTTCGCCTCTAGGAGACCTTCTTTCACCAGTTGTCAATCAACTGTTTCAGAACAGTGTTTAGTCAATCTTTACTTTGGCAACCTGTACTTTTGCGTCAAAAAGCTGCAGTTTTTTTATATTGTTTGCTCAAGAAATCACTGAGTTCATTCTTGAATTTTGTCACTAAATTATAATAGACTTCCAGCAGCTGTACATAGAATTCCAGGTAAACGACAAACTTAAGCTAACGTCTCTATTTGTTTCCGTAAAAAAAGTTTCAAGACGGCGCTTAATTGGCACGCTATAAGTAACTCATTCTTCTTTAAATTATAATGATGAAAGTTGATTTTAAAGAAATGACAATAGTAAAGTCTATAGTTTTGGCGAGAACATATAGCTGTTAGACACAGCTCTGTCATTTTCAATGCCAAAAGTATTCCTTGCTGTCTATTTTGCCGCAATTCCTCAACTTTTTTTCTTCAAGTGTTCATGCTGTTTGACAGCTGGCGACGGACAGAGGCAACAAGAGCCTTAATTTCACTTACGTGGAAGGTTAACCTTGAGCGTAGATTTTTGAAGATGACGAGGATTTAAATGGTGGCCAAGTACGATTTTGAACGAAAGTTATGAGTATTCAAATCGTATGAAAAACCGTAGTGCTACCTTCAGAATCATCCTCTTCAGCAGTCGACGAAACCGAAAAGATTTTTAAATGGATGGCTTCTTAATCTAGCTTGATGTAATGTGCCTATCCACCGTTATTACGCGAAAACCCATGTCAACAATAATCTATCATATTTACCCTAAAAATATGTGTTCCATTTTCAATGAAGCCACAGATAGCAGATATATATATATATATATATATATA